AAAAAAGAACAAGAATGGAAGCAGGGAGGCCTGTTACAGGCTGTTGGAATAATTCAGGTGAGTGATGCAGGTGTGAATGGTGATTGGACCATCGAGGTAGCAGTTGAGGTGAGGAAGAGGGATCCGATTGTGCATGTATGTTGAAGGGAAAGCCAAAGAATTTCCTAATTGATTAGATGCAGAATGTGAGAGAAAGCGAGGACCTAGAGTGACTGTGAAGTTTGGAGCTGAGCAGGAAAGATGGATGAGTTGCCATTAAGTGAATTAAGGAACACTGGATGGATTAGGTTGGGTGACGATCAGAAGTTTAGTTTTGAAATATGAAGTTCAATATGTTGTTTAGACATCTCAAGTGGAAATGTAGAATAGGAAGTTAGTGGGTTTATTTTTTTCAGTCTGAGATGTCTGTTGTCAAAGGAGATTGAAAAGGAAAGACCAGAGAAGTGAAAAGAAAAACCAGTGATGTATTATTCTTGGAGCCAACTAAAACAAGTGTATCAAGGAGAACAGTGACCAGCTCTGCTGGATACATCATACAGGTCACATTAGATAAGGACTGAGAACTGACTATTGGATTTAGCAATGTGGAGCTCTTTGGTGACTTTGAGCAGTTTCAGTAGTGTGGAAGAAATGATTTTCAGCCAGTATCTCTGTTTTTGCCTCAGTGCATGTTCTCCACCTTCAAAGGTTCTGTGAATGAGGTGTCTTTATTTGTATCCCCTTCTCTGGAGGCACCAGTTATTCAGCTGTCATTCTGTTTGTTCCTCTGTCTACTTTCCAACTTTTTAAATTCTGTTGTCACCTCTCATCTGCTACCAGTATTCTCTTGTCCTCCTTGTTCTACTGGGATCATATTTTTTTAAATTATTTTCTTTTACATGGATTTTGAGAAGGAGCAGAAATAATTGAATAGGTTCTGCCTTATTAACTAGCAAATGGAAATTATCCTTTAACCAGTAACAATTATGTTCTCTAAGTAGAATTAGTCTAGAAGGCCATAGTTAGTTGACTTGAAAACTTTCATTGCATTATATTATATTATATTATATTATATTATATTATATTATATTATTATATTATATTATATGTGTGTGTTTGTGTGTGTGTGTGTGTGTGTGTGTGTGTGTGTGTATGCATGCATGCCCTCCCCACACTCTTCTATATCCTGTGGTCCTGTGGTTCAGAAGAAACATTTAAATATACCTTTATACCAACCAACAAATGAAGTAGTAAAACTTGCAATTAAGCCAACTTCTTGAATGTATTGTGTATATTAGCTACATATAGATGTAAACTTTTTGAAAATATATCCTGTCCGCCAGTGATATTTGTATTTCCATGGAGGTTATTCCAGTCACCTGTATTTGAACAATTATGCAGGATCTGACTGTAATTAGAAAAGGGAGACAGGGGCCAAGTCAATCTAGTACAAGTTTGGATTTCACATTTTAGATCATTGGTTAAAATAAATAAAGTGAAGATGAAAATGTTTCTTTTATTAAAAAGATTTAAAAATATAAAATTGGAGCTTTTATTAATTTATATATGTCTCAGGAAATAATAGTCACAGAGAAGTAGCAGACAGTGGCATGCGGTTATTAGCTTCTCACATTATTACATTACACTGGAAGCATGGGCTATTACTGCACAGTGAAACTAGAGTTAGGTGGAGAGCCAGATTGACCTGATAACGTGTGAGTGTTTATGAGTTTCACATTGAAGGTACCTGGTTTTGGTGGGGGGGGGGGTTGTTCCCTCTAAAAAAAACACACACAACAGCTTAGAATGAGTGAGGTGAGCTCAAATCATGTAGCTATAACTATCAACTTGGTGAATTTCTGAGCTATTAAAAAGTAAAACTCTGGGCATGATGAGGCCATAGGCCAAGGAGTATCAGTAGCCATCAGAAGCTGGAAGAAGCAAGGAATGGATTCTCCCCAGGACTTCTTGAAACAGTGCAGCAATGGCATCTTGATTTCAGCCCAGTGATACTGATCTGGCCTCCAAAATTGCCAGAGAGTAAATTTTTGTTATTTGAAGCCACCCATTTGTAGCAATTTGTTACCGCAGCTGCTGGAGACTAATACATTGCCGTTGACACTTGATGGCTATTTCAATATGAAGACCTATGTATTTGTCTTGTTCAGTTTGGAGGAAACTTTTATGTATTATTTCTATCATGTTCCCTTTCCTCCTTCCCTGTCTTTTCTTTCTAAAACTCATTTAATAGGACATTAGTTTTCCTGGATTGGATCTCTGATTTTCTTTCCACCTGCTCATCTCTATGCTTTCAGTGGAATTTTTTTTCCACTCTTAATCTTCTAACCTTTTCACTGATTTTTTTTAATTGAAGTATAAAAAAAAATTTTTAATGCTACTGTCTTGACCAGGCACAGTGGCTCATGCCTGTAATCCCAGCACTTTGGGAAGCCAAATTGGAAGAATTGCTTGAAGTCAGGAGGTCAAGACCAGCTTTGGCAACATACTGAGACCGGGTCTCTGCAAAAAATACAAAAATTAGCCTGGTGTGGTGGTGCATGCCTATAATTCCAGCTACTTAGGAGGCTGAGACAGGAGGATCACTTGAGCCCAGGAGGTTGAAGCTGATGTGAGCTATGACCATACCACTGCACTCCAGCCTGGGCAACAGAGCAAGACCTTGTCTCTGTAAAAATAAATAAATAAATAGAATACTGCTTTGTTTATTGAGTGTTCCTTTTATATCCCACTCATCATTGATATAGTATTTCTCTTAGCTCAAACCAGTTATAATTTATTCTGATTCTTCATTGTCTTTTCTTCTGAGTTTCTTTTATATTTGTTGTGCTATCTTTCATGTTAGAGACTTTAATGTCTGTCAACCTGTTGTTTCTTATTTATATTAAGGAAGTTTTCCCACTTGAAATCAATAGATGAATGGGAATTCTATTTTTAACTTATTGAATAAGTTAAAATATGTAAATAGAATAAATACGTTTGCAGGGCATTTACCCTCATAAGACTGAGGGAGAGTGTATTGCGGCTTCTTGTTACAACTGTCTCCTAGATTCATTAAAGGTAGAGGTTATGTTTGTTTCATGACCTCCTCATTGCTTTGGAGTAATTTTTCAAAAGAAGAAACATTTTTACCTTACAATAAAAGTCTGAAGCCACATATTTTATGGTGATCTATAGGAGGACTAACTGAAGCACTCACAGGGTGCTTTCCCTAACAGAATGTACATCTTTCCTGCAGTAATTATACTTTACTGGTAGAAAGTATATTCCAGGAAATCCTTACATAAAGATTTTATAATGTTGAAAATAAAATATATGCTTTTTACCTTTAAAAAGAAAGGTGGAACTTAATTGAGAATATTATAGAATTATTTCAAAATCAGATTGCTTTTAAAAAAAATTTCAACTTTTATTTTAGATACAGAGGGTACATATGTAGGTTTGTCACATGGGAATATTGCATGATGCTGAGGCTTGTGGTACAGATCCTGTGACCCAGGTAGTGAGCATGGCACCCAATAGGTAGTTTTTCAATGCCCCCATCCTCTAGTAGTCCACAGTGTTTATTGTTCCCATGTTTATATCCATATGTGCACAGTGTTTAGCTCCCATCTGCAAGTAAGAACATGCAACATTTGGTTTTCAGTTCCTGCATTAATTTGCTTAAGATAATGGCCTCCAGCTCCATCCATGTTGCTGCAAAGGACATGATTTCATTCCTTTTTATGGCTGCATAGTAGTCCATGGAGTATATGTACCACATTTTCTTTATTCAGCCTACCACTGATGGGCACGTAGGTTGTTTCCATGCCTTTGTTATTACGAATAGTGCAACAATGAACATATAAGTGCATGTGTCTTTTTGATAGAAAGACAATCAGTCTGCTTTGAAATAATGGTGACAAATGTGCTTAATAACTTAATGCAAACTTTTGCTGTATGCATTTGGAAACTGTCAGTCGATTCTATCAATTGGAAATATTAGCTGTATTCAGTGAACAACTGTCTAGAAGCATTGAGTTAGGTGAATTTCTTAGTTGCTGACTAACACAGAGCATATGATCCCCAGTTTCATCATAGAGCATTTTCAGATACCATGGGGGCACTTTTAATGGACAAAGTCTATCAGAAATGCTGTCCAGTCCCATTAGAGAAGGTAGAGTCTCCCCAGAGTCAGCTGTCCTTTCTCTAAGCTCTGCAGAAGCTGAGATCCTAGATGTTTAGTAAGGCAGGGCAGGCGCAGTGGCTCATGCCTGTAATCCTAACACTTTGGGAGGCTGAGGCGGGTGGATCACCTGAGGTCAGGAGTTAGAAAGCAACCTGGCCAATGTGGTGAAATTCCCTCCCTACCAAAAGTACAAAAATTAGCTGGGTGTGGTGGCACATGCATGCAATCGCAGCTACTAGGGAGAGTGAGGTGGAAGAATTGCTGGAACCCGGCAAGTGGTAGTTGCAGTGAGCCGAGACTGCACCACTGCACTCCAGGCTGGGCGGCAAAGTGAGACTTTGTCTCAAAAAAAAAAAAAAAAATGAAGTTTAGTAAGGCAGTGGTAGAAATCAGGAATTATTTTTAGGTTATTGCTGAGCCTGGGAGATACCATGGTGCCACCAGGAGGGATGCTACCCTTATGAAGCTGTTCTGTCTGGGAGTAAATGGGTGGAAGAAACCCCCTTCAGAGACCTGTGAAGAAGAAATAAACATCAGATACGTCTTCTTTTCTGAACTAAGCAGGACAGATCCAAACCTGTTCCATTATCAAAGCTGATATGGAGATTTACACACTTCTTCAGTCATTTGGGCCTAACCTTTTATCTATGAGTTAACTGCTTATATTCCTAAGGTTTAGTCTCTATCTCCTGGGGTCTTAGCTGCCCTAACTGATGGATTTGCTTCTTGCCAGATAAAACGGAACCAGAAAGCTGCACTCTTTGCTTTCCAGTTGACTTCTGAGAAGCTGGGAGTG